GTGAGGGATCCACCTAGCAAGTGGATCAAATGAGGGATCGACCTAGCAAGTCGATCAAGTGGAAGTATAACCCAACAAGTCGATCAAGTGGAAGTATAACCGGGCAAGTCGATCAAGAGGAAGAATAACCCAGCAAGTCGATCAAGTGAGGGATCGACCTAGCAAGTCGATCAAGTGAGGGATCGACCTAGCAAGTCGATCGAGTGAGGAATCAACCTAGCAAGTCGATCGAGTGAGGGATCAACCTAGCAAGTCGATCAAGTGAGGGATCGACCTAGCAAGTCGATCAAGTGGAAGAATAACCCAGCTAGTTATTCTAGTGGAAGAATAACCCAGCAATCGATCAAGTGAGGGATCGACCTAGCAAGTCGATTAAGTGGAGGAATAACCCAGCCAGTCGATCAAGTGGAAGAATAACCCAGCACGTCGATGAAGTGAGGGATTGATCCAGCAATTCGATCAAGTGGGAAATCGACGCAGCAAGTCGATCAACTGACGGATCCGTCCAACAAGTCGATCTGACTATTGTTGATCTGATTCATGGTCACCAATCTTCGAGAAAAAATTAATGGCAACTTTTGATTTTTAATCCTGTGGACCACAATGATTTTTTTAAGATAAAAACAGTTTTGAATAGTAACGAGAAGATAACTTCTATTTGATTCAAAGAAATGCTTCTATTTCCACAAAAAAATATTGTATTTACTACAACAATATTGTAAATGTCTGGTTAATCTTAACAAAATTTTGAATTATTGCTTAATTATAGCAAAACTTTTAATAGTAGTTTAATTATTCCAAGTATTTCACATTTCAATGTAATGTTTGTTCCTCCGTTATAGAAATAAGGGGGTGAACTATTGGACTTATTATGAATAAAAACCTTAAATGTAAATAACAAGCAAATTTTTGTACAAGTCCCCAGTGGTTTGTTAAGGTCTCATTGAGAACTGGTCTATAAGAGTTTATTCATTTATAGAAGAGTTGTCCAATCTTCACTGAGATGGGAGCAGTTTGTGTGTGCATGTATTGTACTTTTCCCAGATATATTGAACCTGATGGATGCCTCGGAACTCGACGAACCATCAGCCAAAGATGTGGGAAATTTGCCTGTCCTGCCTGAAGACAACTTTGAGACTCAATTGCAACGAGACATGATCTCTGAAAATGTCGAACATCTTGAAAACGCACCAAACGTTGCACCAGAGGTAGGTCATTGATATTTCTGTCCTCATTTGTCTTGTTATAATATTCTCATGTCTTTTATCCAGGTCTGGTTGTAAATGTGTATGTTTTAGCTCTGGGGGAGACACTAGTAAATCCATGTTCAGAAGTCCAATGTTTTAACTTTCATTTTTGGAGTACACTTTCGGAATACAAATGAAATCAAAGAAAGTAATTAATTTAATTCAATTTAATAACTTTTTTTTAACTAACAGATAAAAAAAGACAATGAAAATCAATAGATCAATTTATAATTGATAAAACCTCTACTCGATATATTAGTAGTTGCAGTAGTAACAAAAGTAACCACAAAAGAACTAGATCACAGAATCAAAAATACATAAATTCTTTCATTTCCCTGCAGCTTCACTGACACATTCATATAGACCTCTGGGTTGCATTTTTACTGGAAGTAAAATAAAATAACTGTGGATTACTTACAGGTATCATGAAATGCTACACAAATTTAAAAAACAGGTAAAATCTTTTCTACTGCATACATTTGAGTCATACCAAAAACAATTTTTTTTAAAAATATTACTAATGCATTAATGTGTTTTTAAATTGTATAATTCTGAAAATCTCAATGTCACTGTAATTAGCTTCTGGATCAATGACCTACTCAAACTGATTGAATTTTTCAATCAGTTTCTTGTGATCCTGTGGTGATCTTTTCCTTTGCTTTTGAACTCTAAAGGAATCTCTTCTCCCTCCCAAATAATACAAACAGCTTTTACTGTCTTTGACATAAAAAACTTTTTTTTTTTTAAGAGTACTAGAATTAGGGTTGAAACATTGATCTTTCAGTGATGGTCACAGTGTCTCCTTGGCAGTTTAGACAAACACATTAACTCTAACCACAGAAGTTTCCAGCTGCAAATATTTGTCAAGCCTATCCTAATCATAGTGTATTATTATTTTGTTTTTATAATGAATGCCACAATGTAAATATATTTCTATGGCTACTTATATCTGTTTTTTCTGACATACCGAATTATTTAAGAAGAATCAACTACTTATTCTCCTTATTCACTTGCTGAAATTTATTCAGGCAGAATTATTCTTTTTGTTCTGTCATAGAACAGAGTAATATTTCCCTAGCTTGATTATAATTTTATATCATTTAACATTTATAAATTATTGTATAAGTGCAGATCATTTTAAGAATGGTTTATATCAAAATTAAAAAGATACAAATGTGATCAAAAATATGATTGAACATTTTATTTGCTAGGAATTTCATGCAAAAATTATGTTCCTGAGGTAAATTGCTGTGACTCTCTAATTTTTCTCCAAAATTATATTTATGTAATTGAAACATTTAGACAGCATAACTCATGTTTCAACTCTAAACTTTCCTTTTAAATAATTTGGGTGTTTATGCACGACGAATATATTGGAAAGTCTCCAATTTAAAGCTTGTAAGAAGTTGTGAGGTTTATACAATTTAGATCTTTTCATCACAATGATGGACAATATTTAAATCACTACAACAAAAAAATAAAATAAGAATATATGTAGACAAAAATTGAAGATTCCTAAAAATACATTTTGCTTTTTCATCCTTACTTCATAACAAGACAGAGTATTGTAATTGTGCATTGGAAAACAGCAATTCTCTTATTTCTGGGCCCTGGTGGTAAGAAAGTGGATAAAATCTTGTTCTTATATATAGTAAATTACTTCCTTTAACACTTTCCTATATGTTTTGTGAGTTCTTAATTCCAAACAATGGCAAAACGTCTCTTTGATGATCATCTCTCCAAATGATGGCAAAACGTCTCTTTGATGATCATCTCTCCAAATGATTTTGCAAAATTTTGCAAAAAAAAAATGGCAAAACATCTCTTTGTCTATGTTCAACGTTAGAGCCAAAAACATTTAGCTGATTTTCTCCAAAATTGATTTTTTCCATCGATTTAAAGAAACTCAATGTCCTCTGAGTTTCAAGTGGATATTTTGAATTTTGAAGGTACTTTATAAGAAGACTCAACAACAGTTTCAAACTTTTCTCAAAAATGGCTCCAATTTTGTTTATTAACCTTCGTTCTTAGATAGCATAAAGGATGCTTAAGAGAATGGTGCAGGTGTAATTTTGATAGAAATCCCTGATTTTTCAAAAATTGCAAATGTTTACAATTTTTTTTCAGCATCTTCGTACAAATAAAATATTGAAGAAAGATTTTTTCTCCTCATGAAATTTGATCTTTAAAGACATCTTCATATTAAGTAGGTATAATTTTTCGATAATGAGTAGTTTTGGCATAATTTTGCAAAAATGCAATAAATTGTTAAAAAATTATTTTCTCAGAAACGGCTCCAAATTTTGTTCTTAAATTTTCGCCTCAAAATGCATCAAACATCCATATAAAAGGTGTGCTGATCTTAATTTTGGTAAACTCTCTTTTCAGTATATTTGAAAATTGCAAAAGAACAATAGTAATGATAGAAATTCTTGTCTTTTATGAAATCTGTTAAAAAAATTAGTGGTTTTTCACACAATTTCTGGGGAAAAAGAAGAAAAAAAACAACAAGGGAGACTTAAAAGGCGTATGTCTCATTTTTGTTGATCTCTCTAAATTTTCAAAACTTGCAAATTTAGAAATAATGTGAGAAAGTATGTGCTGGTGTAACTCTACAAGTTGTATTTACATTAAAACTGAAATATATTTTGAATTCAAGATGCATATTTACAAGATATATATTTCTTTTGTAAAAGATAATTCTGTTACCCTTAAAGGTATTACATGATTTATTATTAATTTTAATCTTTTTCATACCAGTAACACTTTTTTTTTAAGGGAAGAATCCAAAATATGTAAATGTTATAAGAGCTTGAATATAGTTTGTCTTAGTTTTCACCACCACCATCAATGGCTTGCAAAATAACATTTATGCTTTGTTGTTAAGAAACAAAAGGATAAATCAAGGAAAGCACATGGTTTTGTATGAGAAGAAGTATCAAACTATCCATGTATCATCCCACACCACATATTTCACTAGCATCAAATTATTGTAATAATATAAGAAAGCCTTATTAGCATGCCAAAGTTGAAAAGAAAATATCGAGACATTTGATTTCTTACTCAACAGGACAAGTTATTGAACACCATATGAACAGGAAAGATGAAAAATCAAATGATTAAAATCGAGTTGCTTGAGTTATTGAGGAATATTTTATCTTCCAACATAATTCTTGTTGGAAGAAAGAAAATAAATGTAGGTTGATCCTACCTATATACTATGCATTACATAAAGAGAACCTGGTTGTGATTTCATATGAGTCAACTGACCCATACATTGTTGTTTTCTCATTAAACTTGTTTTAATTTTGTCCACAAGCCATTGTCTCACATACCACTGTCTCAACTGACTGTAGCTTATTCATCTTTCAATGGTTTGCTGACATTTCCATGTTTTTAATATGTTAAAAATGAAGTGAAAAAACAATGCTGTCAATTAATATATATAATATGTACAGTTCCATCTCATGATATAATAAAATTGGAGACTTTACAAAGTAACCACTGGGTTGATGACAACCATCTCGACCAAGCTTCAGATTCAGTTCGTCTTGGGGCATTGCACAAATAGTGAGAGATTGCCCTTCAGTTCGTCTTGGGGCATTGCACAAATAGTGAGAGATTGCCCTTCTTTGCTTTTGAACTCTAAATGTAATTTTTCTCCCTAATAAACATCACTGACAGATTTTATTGATATTTAAGTCCAAAAAGTAGATCAATTAAACATTATTATATTAAATTTACAACAAATTAATGCAGAGTACCATTTGTTACACTTGGTTTATTATTATTATTATTATTATTATTATTATTATTATTATTATTATTATTATTATTATTATTGTTGTTGTTGTTGTTGTTGTTACTATTATTGTTTGACCAAGGCTGGGGAAGTTATTGCAAAATGTTTTTGGCGTTTTGTAATAATAAAGTTATTAACTTCATTTTATTTGTGAAAAAATTCTATCTTGATTCCATCTTGTGATGAACACTTTCCACAAGTAACGGAGGAACCACTTTTTCAATGGCTTTGGTTTTGTCAGACGTGGTGGGAAGGGTGTGTTGTGGTACATCAAACACAAACGTGGCAGCACTCTGAAGATCCCGTAGAGACATCCGAAATTGAAACCGAAACATCAACCACTTCTGAGCTGTCTCAGAGCAGCGAGTTGACGTCCTATGACATTGTGAGTGAAAGCTCAGCACCTGCTTTCAAGACACCTCTCTTGAAAGAATGCTGATTTGGTACTTTTGAAAGTTACCTTCTAATAATAATCTAATAGATTCTTGGACCTCTTCATTTCAAACACTTTTGATACACAAATACTCACTTCCTGAACAATGCTGTGACCCTTTTTTGCACATTCTCTATAATTACCTTTTCCCAAGCAAAGTATGTAGAAATGAATAAAAATTACTTTTTTTTTTAAATTTTAGAAACCAACCTGAAGTGGAAAAAGATTGTATGTCTGAATCTCTGTTCTCTGTCTTTGTGATTGTATTTTTCTTGGATTTTCTCTTGTGATTATTCCCTGAATTTTCATAATATAAAAGTGAAGGGGTGTCTGATTGCTTTTTGCATGCAGTGTTTTGTAATAATGTTGTAGGTGTTATATTTTAGTAAGTAAAATTCTTGTTTTAATCCCTGTGTTTATTTAGTGTAATTTTTATATTTCTATATGCTTTTATTACTTAATAATAATTCTCACTAAAAATGATATAATAACATTGCTTTAATATCTGTAAGTGCAAAACTACTTTCATATATGAACTAATGTGGTACAGTGTTGTAAATTGAAATGTAATAAGAATGTGGTAATAAGAATGAAAATTAATTTAATGGTGACCAAAATGTTTTTCATAAGCATATTCTTCTTCTGATTTCTCTTGAATATATGTTTATAGAATTTTAAATAGTACTTTTTCAAAATGGCTATAGGGTTCTTGGTCAATGTTTATTCTGCACATGATTATTTCTGGTTCTTTATTTCTGAAATATCTTTTTACAGTGAAGTTCTTTAAAATTTAAAATTTAGGCTCTTTATTCCTTTATCCTTTCTATATTTTCTATATTCCTTTATCTTTTATTGATCTGTTCCTATCATCTGTTCTTTTCCCAGAAGTTGGAAGAGATAGAGAGTGTCCCAGATTCCAAAGATGTCGTAGAAGACTCCTCAGAAAGAGTGAAGGAAACATCTTCATCAGATATGATAGGAAATGACTCAATTCCTGACTTAATTATTACTGAGGCTCCAGATGAAAAAAGAGAAAGTGAAGAAGAAGACGAGGAGGAGGAGGAAGAAGAAGAAGAAGAAAACAAAGCTCCTCAAGAACCTCAAGTGGAAAGAAAAGAATCTGAAACTATTGCACCCACTGATGAAGTGCCTGCTGCAGAAACAATTGAAATGCCTGTGGAGGAAGTGCAGCAAGACAATGAAGAGAAAGCAAATGAAGAGGAAGGAGTAGAAGGTGAAGAAGCAGGGGATGAAGAGAATGATGAAGAAGAAGAAGTCGTAGCTGAAAATAAACCTGTAGAACCTGTAGTTGCCCCTCAAGAGCATCCTGGTGTGCCTTCTGGTGATAAGGAAGAAGAAGAAGAAGAAGAAGAAGAAGAGGAAGAAGATGAAAATGAAGAAGAAGTACTAGAGCCAGGTGTTAAGGTGATCCTACAACCCAAAGATGAGGTGAGTTGATCTGTTTTCTCTTCGAGTTCCTCTTCTTTCTCGGTATTGCCACTGAGACTAGCATAATCTTAATTGCATTTCTGCTTAAATAATGCAGTGGGATCCTATCCCTCTTTCAGAACGAAAATAAAAAAGATTGCATACATTTTATAAATTTAAAATGTATGAATAAATAGTTGTAGGGCATGAATGAAACCTGGACATTGTGTCAAAATGTGAAAATTTGCTTTTTGTGCTGAAAAGCGTGGTGAGGGTCAAGAGTAAATGGGCAGTGTAAATGGACTGACATTTTCATTCTTGTTGCCACTATACTGCTCATCAGTCAAGTCCCATGAGTCTTTGAAACCGTTTTTCTTAATTATCTTAGAATTCCATTTTTTGGCACTTAGCACGGTTTTCACTTACTGTCTACAAATGTAAAAAATTATGTTTAAAAAAATTACCAACCTTATACCAAGGGTCTCCAAACTACAGCCTGTGGGCCGCTTTTGGCCCTCGGCATTTTTGTATGTGGCCTGCCGTACCCTACGTACATTCTAATTCAATTTAATCATGGCACAGGCTGTAACATTTTATTGCGAAGATATATGAATCTGGTTTCCTATTGATTCACATTCCACATACTGACCATTGGGAAACAATTTAAAAATAAGTGAAACAAAAATTGATTCACAAATTAACTTTATTAGAGAAAAAAAAACAATTTCATTGGTCTCATTGTGATATCTTTTAAAATTATTTATCATTTCTGTTTTAGAAAAAAAATAACTGTAATTAAATTTTGAAATTTTAAAATTGTAGCTATCAATGAGTATTAATTGTTACAAGTATTATGTCCAGAATTGTGTGCTCCAATGCTCACACTTGTTTTAAGAATTAATTAGTTAATTGTTTTGTCATTCTTTATTCAAAATTGTATTTAACAAACAGGTCATAAATTCATCCTATAATGAAATTTAATTTTGGACCCTCAAGACACTTAAAAACATTCTATCCAACCCTCAGTAGACAAAAGTGGAAGACCCTCACGTTAGACAGTACTAGTTTTCATTACTCTAATAAATATATTTGACATTTCAGCCTGCAGTCCATCCTGTGGCTACAGAACCAGAAGACGAGCTTGTTGTAGAAGAGGTCATTGAAATAGAGGATGTGTGTGTGGCCAGCGAAGGGGATATAGACCTACTTGAAGAAGGCCCTGATGGAGACAGTGGCAAACTTGGTATATCAGCCACCAGCCTCTCCAATCTAGAAGGCCTACGATTAAATGGAGCAGTCCTTGCAGAGGATCTGGAAGGGAAAGAGGACTTGGAGGATAGTGAAGATCTTAGGTTTTCTATCTCCCCTGCACCAGTGCTTCGACCGCCTCGATTGGATGCATTACGGCAGAAGGGTAATTTCACTTTAATATTTATTATGAAGCATGCAAAAAGTATTTTTAATTTTATTTTATTTAACCACATTTGTTTATAATTCAATATAGTGGATACTTCATAAAATCTAATTCAACAATTCCAATTATACTGAAACTACGGGTTTTCTAAGGAAATAGACATCACATGTCTAAATGCCTTACAGTTTGTAATGACTAGGCTTCAGATTTTTAGCCAAAATCTTCTGCTTTGGGCATAGGATCTTAAAGGGCCAAAATAGTCTTCATACTTCATAATTTCTTAAAAAGTCACTATAAATGAAGAAAAATAACTTTTTCACATCAGGTTTTTTTTAACATAATAAAAATATAAGCACGAAATATTAAAAGGAACACAGATAGAAAACTAAAACAACTATGTCTTTTTTAATCATAATTCTTTTGTTCATAAAAAATAATATTTTTATATTAAGACTTGCAACTGGAGAGAATTATAATGTTGGATTATCAAAGGGTGTATAATTGCCTTACTCTGCTTATGCAGAGCAAAAGTCAACCTTCAAAATGCATACAGAATTAATTTTGAGTGTCTACATCAAAAGAGGAAAATTAATTTACCTAAAAATTTGAAATCTAGTGATGATATTGTTACTTGCACAGTATGAATGAGATTTGATTACTATAGCATGTTTTGCAATGAACAACAGTTAGCTTTTAACCTTTTAACAATTCTAGTCTTCATTTGTCAGATACTGTCCGGTATTTTATTTCCCTCTGGAGCCTCTCATTTTGGGCTGAGCATAACAAATGATGTGTCAAAAAGAACTATAATATCATAATGAGGTTAATTGTACTCTTAGTTTACAAATATTATTAATATTTGTAGAAAAATGCATGTAAGTTGGGCCGATGCTAATGCAACCCCATGACACATGACCTACCTAACAGTACATTTCAGGTCATCAACGTGAAAGTTGTGTCCTAGAGTATTAAAATCAGTTTCTCAACACATTTTACTATCATGGTTTTTCCTTCATGTGGATATGAGGGGAATGGCAGGTGTCTGGTTTTGGCTTACGACAAATTCCCCAAGTAGATATGCCAATGAATTATTTTTTTCAAAGTTTGTAATGAAAGTGCCTTTAAATCAATGTTTCCCTGCAGGATCAGTACTTACTCCCTGGAAGTTGGTGAAATTTTAAAGAGGATCAGTAATGATTAAGGGGTCAATAGCCAAATGTACACTAGCAGCTGATTGGAATATTCAAAATCTTCGTGATTACAAAAAATATTGTTAATTGTGTTCTTTTATAAAGATTCTTTACGTACATCTAATAATACTTGCTTATATTTATAAAAAATGAAAATTATAATAGTACACAAAATAATAAAACATAAACCAAATGTACCCTTTCTTCAAAATTGTTGTTCATATTCTTTGTCTTATGTCTTCATGCCATTTTTGTCCAATTCTTTATATTAAGATTTTTTTGTAAATGTTTATTATAGAAAGAAGTCAAGAGGTTGATGAAGCAAATAGTTCTTTTAAAAGAGGTCAATACAAGAAAAAGGTTGTCAATTCCTGCTTTAGATTAATTCAGTGTTCTGAATTCAATTACCTTGGTTATCATATTTATGGAGTCGCATACAATTTAAATATTGATAGGATTAACAAGAATAATACAACATAATAATATAATATAACATTACAAAATATAAAATGACTATATTTTGTATATAAAAATATTTTTGAAAAAAGCTTAACAGTATATAGAAGCAAACCAAACAAAGGAAAATTTCTGTTTAAGAATCTTAAATTTGATTCTCTTTGAAGATTAAATCTACTCTACTTATGTAATTTAAAGAGGAATCAATGCAAATTACATGGATAATTTAAAATGTTTATTGGTTCTTTAATACTTCAGGTAAAGGTTTGAAATTTGTTCTGTAATTAAGAATTATTACATCACTTTCTTTCTTTCCTAAAATTTTGCAATTTGTTGAGAATGCAGGTGAGGAAAATGCAAAAAATGTGTTAATGGTGGGTATGACTGCAGCTCAAAAACCAGACATTTAAATTTTAAAAAGCATAAAGGGCTGTCATTACTGAACTACATGGGGTCATGATAAGTAGCAGTATACATGTTGCTGAGCGTCCAAAATTTGCTATGTGAACTTTTTATGAAAATTAGTAAAGAGCAAAAAACTACCTAAAATTGATTGAGTGTGAATGAACTGTGAAACTGTGTATGAATGTGTGTGATACAAAGAAAAATAATTATTTGAGAAAGTTTTTGTCTACCCTTAAAAATCTTATATTCATTTGTATGGCAATTTTTCCAGGCATAATGTCAATTTACAGAATTTTAGGCCAATAAAGTTTTTCTTTCACATTCTCAAACAATTTCCCATGAGATCCGTCTTAAGGACGCACGTTCTTTCTCTTCCTAGATGCATCATCTCTGTTCTCAAACATCATTCTTTCACATTCTCAAACAATTTTGCATCAGGTTCCTCTTAATGACCCACATTCTTTCTCTTCCTTGGTGCATCATCTCTGTTTTCAAACATCATTCTTTCACATTGTCAAACAATTTTGAGCCCATTCCCTCTTAATGACCCCCTTTCTTTCTCTTCCAAGGTGCATCATCTCCAGAGGAAGAGAGCTCGACTGGCGGAGGGTTGAAAAGGGGTGATGACAGTGAGCAGTTTACCCTCTCCCCCACGCCTATTCTACGCCCTCCCAGGGTGGAAGCCCTCAGGCAAAAAGGGGCCTCGTCCCCCGAAGATGACAGCTCTGCCGGAGGAGGTGAGTACTTTGCCCTAAATCGTTCAGTGGTCACAAAGGTGAAAAGCAGTCTTCACCTCCAGTGGGGTATCTAGGGTGTGGCAGGCATAGCAGTTAACTAGGATGTGAATGAACAGGTGTCATTCATCATTTCTGTCTTCATGATAAGAAGGGACTTAGCGTTCTTACACCATGGTTCAGAGGTAATTATTTTTCACTACGGAAGCACACTAAAAAACATTTTTGCCATATATATTTTAAAGTTCACTGTTGATGGTTGATGAAAATCTTTACTTACTTATTGGATTATTCCTTTCATTCCATTCCCAGCTTAACAGAAAAAGTAATTATTTCAAAAATATATAATGAATTGAAGATATTTAATTAAATAGTTGCATGAAAATTAATTTAATTTTAATTAGATGTACATTTTATATAATGAGCTATTTTGTATAAATTGAATAACTGTGTTATCTATCAGTCATTTAATGAGGGATATGCTATCATTATATTTCCTTATAAGATACTTTTTAATTAATAAATTCAATATAAGGCATAAATAATTTTACATTAATGGTTTTTATTCAAGTACCCTTTTTCTTTCTCATAAACAGGTGTGCAAATTAGTGAGATATGGGGGCAAATACAAGTTTTATTAATGGTGTCATTTCACCTAGATAAGCTTCTGTCATCCTCATCTGAATGTTACATGTTTCATTGTATATTTCAGAAATGAAATATTTAGATTTTAAGTATACATGAACTGAAATACAGTATTATAGTGCAAAAATAAAATAATTGTCAAAGCATGAGTAGGTCACGTTTGTCAAATCCTATCTCTGAGCAACTCCTTGTAAGAAAAATGAGGGTTCTACAAATGTAATGTGTTTAAAATTTCATAACATAATGTTTACAAATAATAAAAGTTATAGAGATAATTTACAAATATATTTCTTCAAGATTGTCAAATAATGTAATGGGATCATATATTATGATATATTGAAACAATAAAATGACAATCAAAATAACCAGAAACAGATCATTCATAAACTATGATAAGAAAATTTAAAAAGTAATCATTGGACACACCTCTACATGATTAATTTGTGTATATATTGCAATGTATTCTTTAAATTGATAATAGTAATTTCTGTGGAGTTGAAATTTTTGGCACCCCCCAATAATTTAATGAAAACTTTCAGGTTGGTACATAAATTTGACACAATTAGAGACACTTCCTTAAATTTTCCAAAACATTATAATAATTGAAGCAAATGGGCAACAAATTATGTGACATAAATTATGAGAATATGTTTTACACCTGTTATTAATATGATCATAAGTCAATATGTCATAATGTGATCGTTCCACAAATCTATAATGGAAACTATTTTTAATTACTCTAATGCAACTGTACATAATATTTCAGATTCTGCTATACTCGTGCGATGAAAATAAAACAAGTTGTTTTTTGATAACCTACGTGAAAGGTGTGATCAAATTGCTTGTAATTAATTTTCTCTTGACTTTATTGCGTAGGTTGCTTTAAAGTATTTTACAAATTTAAAGTGCACTTTTATATTTTAACATCAGTCAGACAGTCTTCATCTTTAAAGAAATCATCAAGAAATGACAAAAGAATGAATACATGAAATGGGTGTGTTAACGAAATTGTTGATGATAGAATATTTTAAGTATATGGGAAGTGAGCAACTATTTTTTCCTGAAAATTGACAAATTGAGATGGTGTCCTGAAGATTGGAGATCCTTCAATCTGAGAACATACTGAAGGTACCCCATTTTCCGAACATCTACAGATTGCAACGCAATGTGTTGATATCACAGAAATTTTTAATTAAATAACTAATCCTCTTAGTATATTCCTGGTGTAATTAACGAACCTCATAACTCTAATGGATATGATTTGGAGCTTTTCATACTATTATGTTGAATCGATATCCCTGTACAACTCAGATAAACTTTGTAACTCCTCCCTGCACCCAAATCCAAAAAAGTAGAAAATAAATCTGAACATTTTATGAGGGAATTCTGTTATAATACTGTAAACCATATAACACTTAACAGTGAATTCCTATTGTCATGCAACAGTGTGTGTTCTAGAGCTTATAAAGTGATTTAAAACATTCATCCAAAACTATACAAAACCAATAATTTACAAGTCTGGATTGAAAAAAGATGTTATCAAGGTGTGTTTCTGACAACCATTGTTTGAAGTATTCTGATGATAAGAATATTTATTGTAAATTAAATTTTTAAGACAAGCTGAAACCATTGACTGTTTGAGGACAATCTGAAATAAACCTCAAGAAAATATCAAAAAAGACTGGATTCAGAACTATTGCCAGTCATCCCTCCAAAATGTAAGCATTTTATTAAGTTAATTTCGGTTATTTGTACAATGGTAGGAAGATCAGCATGAAGCAACGTACTACCATATCCATAAATTAAAAAAGGTTACCCCAAGATCACTCTTTTAACAATGAATTATCATTTTAACAAGCTGCTTCAAGTCATGAAAAGTTCATATAAACATCACTGGATATACATTTGATGAACTCCAATTTTTCTAACAGTTCATTTATTTTGAAATTGCCTACAATAACATACCTCATTTTTTTCTATTTTTTATATTTAATTTAATAAAGACCCTTTTAATTAATTTTAACAATAAATTTCCCTTTAGTCTAGTGACTGCAGTAACCCATTGATTAGTATTATGTGGTTTGCTAATTAGGGCTGGAATATGAAACATTAGATACTCTAGCTGTCCAGGATGAGCCGCATATCAGTCGATCAAGTTGACATTTTGGCCATCATGTTGTGGCCTTCTTCAGAGCTATTCTGCTCCGAAGGTATGGCCGAAACGTCAGCTCAATCAACTGAGACGCGGCTTGGGCAGTCAAGTATCCAATGGCTCCGATTGTGGAAGCCTACGAATAAAATATGAAACATTTTCCAAAATGCATGAGAATTCTGTGAGGCATGCAAAGGCATGCAAAATCCTTATCCTGCTCACTTCTTTGCTCTTTGACCTACACACTTAATTTTAGCCTCGGAAATACCATACAATCCCTCATTCAGTTTGTAAAGGTAGCAAAGTCTTCAGGTCTCCCAAATTTAGGGAAAAAATTGTTGTCACAACTAACATTCCAATTAACATACTAAAAGTTAATAAATTATGAAAACTTATTGAGAATGTATATAAAAATATGAATAGTACATCAATTTGTAGGTATTAATTCAATTTAGTAGTCAAATATAAATCAGATTAGTTTCTCTTTACTCAACAATGTGTTTTTACGAAATAATAGTATTTTCTAGAATATTAGTTACGGACAACTTAATAGTTGTTGGCATTCAGGAACCCTAGAATTGTACACAATTCATTTACCATGAAACTTGTCGAAGACTATTCTGTAATATCAGTTTAGAAATTAATTTTCCACAGCCAGCATAAATGATGAGTTCACTCAATTGATTTTTGTAATAATATTAAAAATTAACTTTCTCTAAAAATGTTCTAATGTTTTACAAAGTTATTTTGTGCAAAAATATATGAAAATAAATACTTTCCTCAAATTTGAATTAATATCATAAACTCACATATAATTTGTTTTGAATGTACAATGTTTCAAATTTGTTTTTATTTGTTTACATGGTCGTGTGATATATTTCACTTGCTATTTAAATTTTTAATACAAAAATTATAAACTGTCCACAGAAGGTACATTTTTAAAGTTATAATTCACGAAAGAATGAATTGAGAGTATACATAAGGGGCCGTACATAAATTACATAACAAAGTTAGAGTATTTTTAATACCCCCTCTCTCCCTTGTAATGCACCTGTAATGCGCACTGGAACCTCTCATCTAAATAATTCCATATTGCTTGGAACTACCCACTTGTAAGTGGGTGAAAATAAATTAAACACCGTAAAAACAATTTGTATTTATTGTACTTGTGTTGTATATTAAATTAACTAATGATAATTCAGTAGAAATTAATTGGTGATGCTGGTTGCAACCAGCAGTAAGGTTGGGGCAAGATGTGAGCGAAGGAAGAATGCTTAGTTGAGAATTGCTTGATCAGAAGCTATGCACACGCCATGGATGATGCAAGAGGGAGATTCTACACCGCTAATTTAAATGGATCCTAGAAAACTGATATTTCATATCAGTTTTTAATATATTCTTCACAATCTTACAGATTAAAAAGGTTAAAAAAATATTTTCATTCATTGTAACAATGCACCACTAATAACTTTAGTTTATTTATGCTTTTAAAACAAATTAATTAGTTAATGTTTTAGCACCGGACTCAGAAAGGAATTATTTCAGCATATAAAGAAAAATTTTAAAAAAATCAATGTTATGTAACACTTAACTAACGCCCCTCAACCAGCGTAATGCTCCCTCAGACCCCCACCACCTCACTTTAGTGTTACGTAATTTGTGGACGACCCCTAAGGGTATTTGAGTGGTTTTAAGAAACTCTGCAAATGTAGTAAAGGTAGTGATTATTTACCAGCAACAAAACTTTTGTTAAAAGTCAAAAACTATTTAGCTTGTAGTGCAATCGTGTAATTTTTTTATGTGGATAGGAAGACACAATACTTGCATTAAAACTCAAGGAATGTTGTAAAATTAATTGTACTACAAATTTTTTTACGAATAATTTAAAACATAGTAATGTAATTCAAATTTTGGATGTTTCTCAACAAAATAGTGGCCCAATTTAAAATACTATATTGTTGTATTTCTCTGCATATGTGGTTTTTCAGCATGTTTTTGAAGAATTCTTTTATGAGCTGTATACCTATAATAGAGTATGTCTACCAGCGTTAAGTTCCTTCCAAAGTAAGTTGCACTGAAGATTTTCATATTTGTATAAATTTTCTCTCAGCCCTTGAAGAAATTGATTACTAATTCTTCCTTATGAAAAAGTTAAGTTTAAAAGAAGGAATAATAAAAATATATTGAAATCATGATCATCATTTTG